GGTCGTCTAATATAAATACAGTTAATGAAATCATGAAATAGACGACGGTTTATAAAAGAGTTAGACGACGGCAGAAAACACAGTCGTTATTTTTAATGTCTAATAATTTGCAAAACAAGTAAAAACGTCGTGGTATTTAACTAAACACGACGCGTCTTGTAAGAAACAGACGTATATACCGTCGTTATTTTAAATTTTAACGTCGGATATTAAAAGGAGCGACGTCTATTTAAAATTTAAAAGGCAGAAATGGAAAATAGCAGAGATTTTACCGTGTCCTCTTTCTGTTTTCCAGCAGTATCAGGTTCAGGCTTCGGATCTTCTAATTCCAAAGCTAGGGGTCTGATACCAGTGGCCCCAGAGCAGCTTGCCTTATCAGACATTGGATTTTTTGGGCTTTGATCTTGAGGGGGTAAAGTAATTGGAGGAATTGGAGAAATTGGGGTTTTGAGCATCTGGCTGGGATCCAAATTAGGAACTAGTTGACGGAAATATGCCAACATAGCCTCCCTCTCTGCTCTGACTGCTTCCATTATAGTTTCCCTTGACTTCACCTCAATCCTCAAGGTCTCTTCTCTGACTGCCTCCCTCACACTTTCCTCTCTTATCTGTAGTCTTCATTAGGAGGACTTTAATTTACTTACAATAATTGAAAGTTTAATTCGAACCTTTCATTTTCTTTGTGTCATAGAGACATAGACCTGTTGAGAAATCAAATCTTCTATAAACAGCTAGGTTCTCTGAAAAGAAAATATGCACACAACTGCGTTGTTTAGTAAGTCATTATCTTAATGTTTTGTATCAATAAAAAAATGGGGGGAGTGGAATTCCTGACTTATCATTTTCCTTCATATATACTTATATTGATGTGACTTTTGAACTCAATCTGGAACAGATTATACGTCCAATTCCCTTTGTGCTATCCAGCAAGATGCCAATTCATTATTAATTTCACTGATAAATCACTATGGAGTTTGAAAATTAAATTTATGATGAATTTCTTAGAAACCATTATTACACAAGGACAGTTCCAGATCCAGTACATGGTTTCATTCATACTTCGATCCGATCCAACTTTCAGTATAGCTAAAATAACATTAAGAGAGACAAAATATGAAGTGCAATCAGAGTCAAAGAAAATCGTTTAAAAGTTTAAATAGTCGTCTAGTACATTTATAACAATATGCAAGAACCAGTGCTTGGTTATTTTTCCTTTTGACTGCAACATTCTTTCGCACTAGATCGAATTAATAAGTATTATCCGCTTAATTTCCTTGTGATGGGCTTCAAGCCTGAACCTTGTTTCGCCATGCCAGCAACTCCAACACCCGCAGAAAGCTTGTCCCTCCCACAAATGTTCCATATGTTGATTAGAATTTACAACAATGCTTTCTTTCATCATCGCATTCTTCGTAGCGAAATCATACTTGTTTTTTGTATTAGCCAGCCGAGGAGGACGAGATTTTTCAATTGTGGAGTCGTCTTCTGCTGGTATTAAAAGGTGTCTCATCACGACACCTCCACCTAAGATGAAACCTGTTCCAAGAGAAAAAGAGATTCCAACTGACAATAATCATATATTATTTGTAACTTAAACACGGTTGCATATAACATAAATACTTCAAAGTACTACTAAAACACTTTATAATTAACTAGTTCATCGTACTTGTCGCTGCCTCATCATGAGCAGCAACTCATGGAGATGAAATATTACAGTCCAACATTTCACGAAATACATAATAAAGTTCTCAGTGAACTACTACTACAAAGTACGTACGGCATAAAATAATTATTACAGTCCAACATTTCTTGAAATACATAATAAAGTTCTTAGTTAATGACTACGACACAGCCCAACATAAATGGTAAAACGTCCAGTCCCAAACTACAGCCAGTAGGCAGCAACATGTTGATCATAATCCTGCAACACAACAAAATCATCTATCAATCAATACAGTTAACGTACATTAAACATAATTAGTCAGCCAGCCACAACAGTTAGACCACAACTATCTCACCATATGGATTATCACTGATGGCATTTAGAGCCGCCCTTCATTGGCTCTTCATCACTACGACCGGAAATATCAATAGACCCAGGTGTTGGGGGGCCCTTTGGTACTGGATTGACCAGTATGTCATTTCTGCGGTACGTTCGGTTGTTCTGGGTAATGGTAAAATCAATTATGTCGGAGACATTATATGCGACTCCCTCACCAATATAGTAACGTATCTGTCTTGAATCAAGATTTTGACGGGTTATGAGATCTTGAATGCGATACACAGTCACATCGCGAGTGGAGGGGGATGGGTTTGAGGGGTTTGGTTGCTTTGGTGGTTCTTGAGAGTCCATTGAGGTTCAGGAAGATAAGCTAGCTAGGGTAAGAGAAGAGAAAGGTGTTTTTTTTATATTTTTTTTGGTAGATAGAAGAGAAAGGTAAGTTATTATGAGCAAGTCTAAGGCAAGGTGAAAAGGGATTTATATAGGCCTGATGAGATTGGGAGAGAAAAGGAGATACTTTCACCAGAGAAAAAAAAAATAGAAGCTAGGGAATACGAGAGAGAGAGAGAGAGAGAAGGACGATTTATTGAGGTTGGTGGTCTCCAAAGTTTAATATAATGGTTCTAGTTTTTGTATTTCTCTATACTTGTAGTATAAAGTTTAAGGTGGATATGCTTGTGATCTGTTAGCTTTATTCTCTAAGATAGTGCATTTACTTGTTAAAGCATAGATTCAGTAATATGTTGGTGATGCCTACTTAATTTAGGAAAAAAGCCTTGTATTTTTACTATTTTATATATTAGGACAAAAAGGCCTTGTATCTTTTGATATATAATCTAGATTCCAGGCTCTTATTAACATTTATGTATTACAATATCATACTTCATGTTTTGAGATATATCTAATGAAATCTATGTTTCTTATTTTTCTTTGTTCTTTTACTGTTACTGTTAGCCATATAAAATTAGATACATGAAATGAAACTGGAAATGCAATGATTTAACTAGAAAGATTGACCAATAGCTTTTTGAAATGCTATAAAAGATATTGTTAACAGCTATCATATTTAATGGCAGTTGTCCTTGTACTGATGAAGAGGCAGGATTTCCATTATTGCAGAAAACTAATGGAGGGTAGAGTGTTGAGTCTGAAGAGGCAGAATCCAAGGACGATGGAGGACGACAAAGGAAAACAAGACGTGATCGATCGTGACCTAACCAAAGGACCACCATGGGGAATCCTTTCCTTTTCGAATTCAGAGTTAAGATGTTTCCTTAAAATGGAAAACCTAGCTAGTAGCTAGTAGCCAGTAGGCCCAGAGTTAAGATGTGTTTCCTTAAAAAGGAAAACCCAGCTGGTAGCTAGTAGCCAGTAGGCACAGTACTCCACTGCCTGGCGAAAGGAATCAGAGTATTCACATGCTTTCTGGGTCTCCATCAATTATTGTTACGTTCTAATATTTTTGACTCCCTTTTTGAGATAATGATTTAATAATTCATTATTCTAGAAGAGAAGCTCTCATGTAACCGGGAGTGCTATTTCCGGCCAATAACGCAATGACATGTAAAAAAGTTATCCTACGGGAATAGCAAAAAAGTGTTATCTCTGTTAAATGTAAGGTTTTTTTTTGCCTTTCTAAAAGCACGCCCATGTCTATTTTAGTCACGGAAGCTAGCATTTGTATTTTTCGGGTCCACAAAAGGCTTGTAGTTTCAAGCCCGTCCACTTTTTAATGCCTTCTTATTCTGATAACAAAATTATTCCATTATAATCCTTAGTGTGTTGGTGAGTCCTTATTTAGTTAGGATTTTGGTTCCTTATTTATCTAGAATTTTGGTTACTTATCATTTATTTAGTCATATTATAAATGAGATTTATTTCTTATTGCAATTTAGATATATTTCCTATTTTATTTAGAATTAACACATATTTTTACTTGTATAAATACGTTCGTATTTGAGAAGAATAATAATATTCAAACACACTTTGTTTCTTTGAAATCTCACAAACCTTTTTTTTTTAAATAACGAAAATCCTTACCTGCATGCGTATCAATTCAATTCTTCCTTGTACCCCGCAGTTTGGACTTGCTTTTCTTTTGTTTCTTTTGTGTGAGCACATGGACTCTTGGAACTCTGTATTGGTCTTTATTGGTACGTATACTTTCCACGTCTTATTTATTTATTTAATATAATTTTTTTATAGGAGAATAAACAGTTTACAGAGAAAAGCCTCTTTGGAAGGAATTCCCAAAGAGGTCAAAATAAAAATTGATGAATTAACATATCAACCACATTGCTAACAAAACAACAAAAATAATGTCGAAAATAATAATCATATTACCTCGAACTAATTGAAAGTTTATGTGCTTTTAAATTGAAAACAGAACAAGAAAGAGAGATTATACATGTTATTTGCTAACAATGACATGAGTTTCTGATGTCACTTTTAGAGAGTGACATGGGAATTACATATTTTAGTTTTAAAGAAAAAAAATTATTTCAATTTTTGAATCCTTAATGGGGCACAAATCTACTTAGAGAGAACAAATGAACTAGTAATAAGAAAGAAAGAGGCTTGTTAATTGTGCAAGCCAATAACTACTATCATGAAATATCAAACACAACATGGACCCAAGGAGATTATACATGTTATTTGCTAACAATGACATGAGTTTCGGATGTCACTTTTAGAGAGTGACATGGGAATTATATATTTTAGTTTTAAAGAAAAAAAATTATTTCAATTTTTAAATCCTTAAGGGGCACAAATCTAGTTAGAGAGAACAACTGAACTAGTAATAAGAAAGAAAGAGGCTGGTTAATTGTGCAAGCTAATAACTAAAACAGACGAGGGCAAAAACCGAGCAAAATCACTTATACAACACACATCAAACAACTTTGAGTTTTGGTCTTGAGGGTTTTCAGTCTATACAGGAGGCTACATCTTTTGAAACTCCCAGCATTTAAAACTTTTGCTTCTTCAACTTCTCCAAACTTGAATAGATTAATCCTAACAGGGAATACAATACTGCCCTTATGCAATCCATTATGAAATTCCAACAAGAAGAGGGTCAGTACCATGGATACAACAGTCGGAAGAACGGGCTTACACTACTACATTTACCCTTTTGCGCGACGGAGAATAATTAGTCGCGCAACGAACAATCGAGTCGCTATTGTATTTGCGCGACGGATAAAACAACCATCGCGCAAAGTTCGTAAAGACTGACTTTGTACTGACTTTGCGCGACAAATATATGGTTGAGTCGCGCAGAGTGCGACGAAGACCACTTTTAGTCGTGCAAACATAGCGACGGATAGTATTCGTCGCACTAATATTCGTCTCACCATAGTAAGCGCGACGATACCTGAATCGTCTCACTCCTGAAAGCGCGACGATATATTCTTCGTCGCGCAAAAGTATTCGTCGCACAAATATTCGTCTCACCATAGTAAGCGCGATGATACCTGAATCGTCTCACTCCTGAAATGGCGACGACACCTTATTCGTCGCGCAAACCTATTACGCGACGAGATCTACATCGTCTCACGAGAGTAAGAGCGACGATATAGTCTTCGTCGCGCAACAAATAGAGCGACAATTAAAACACACAAACAGAGCGACGATTAAAACACGTCGCACTTTCGCGTCCCAAAAATATGCGCGACGGAGTTATATACTCGCGTTCACTTTCGCGCGACCAAAAATATTAGTCGCATTTTCTTTAAAGAGACGAAACATTTCGTCGCGCAAAAATAAATATATAGTTTTCAAAATTAATTTATTTATCCGTTTGTAAATGCGCGACGAAAAATGTCGTCGCGCAAAAGTATACATTTTATTTAATTTTAATTTTACCGTTTTGTTTTGTAATAAAATATATTTGAATTGTACGTTTTTTTTTTTTGCAATAAACTATATTTTATGTAGTTTAAATTTTATTTTATTTTTGTAATAAAATAAAATTGCAATAAAAAACCATAATGAAAAGATAATATAAATTGAAATAGTTCAAGACAAAATGTTTAAAATGTAATTAAGAAAGTAAAAAACTAATTAAAAAATGTAGTAACATCTATGTTGTCATCTTGCAAATGCGGCTCGGAAGTCTGGACATCGACATGGGCAGAAGTGTGGTGGCCATGCTCTGGTTGAGGGGG